ACAGTTGATCTGGATTTATAGCGTGATGGGATGACAGCACAGTGATGTGTGTGGTCCTGCGCTTTCATGTGATATGCGTGGCATTTCTGTGCGAGTCTGCATTTGCAAGTAATCCATCCAAGAGTAAGGTGTGTGCAGAGCTGTATGAAAGCTCTGTTATACATAATTTTAGTGTAACTTAATCATTTTTTTTCGCTGTGAAAACATTGGACTATGGTCGCACTATGCATCGTTCGGGCCCATAGGGTTAATTTGTCAGAACGTGTTGTTATGACAAATGCTGGTTCAGCCAGTTTACATAAAATCAAACCGGTTTCAAACTCGTACTACAGACTGGACGGCAAAACTTGAAACTGACCCAGCTCTAAGATTGATAACATAATTCAATCAAACTTATTGTTTTAAATAATATTTATATATTTAAAGGTTCAATGTGTAAGATTTAGGGGGATTTAGTGGCATCTAGTGGTAAGGATTACACATTACAACCAGTTGAAACTTGTCCCAGTTAAAATTTATCCAGTGTTCATTGTTCAGCAGGTTTTTAGTGGGAGCTGAATTATCCAGAGAGCCCTGACCTCAGCTACATCAAACCCCTTTGGGATGAACTGTAATGCTGTAATGACTATTATTTACATCAGTGGCCGACCTCACTAATGCTCCTGTGGTTGAATGCAAAGCCTCGCAGCCAGGTTCCAAAATCTCGTGTAAAGACTTTCCAGAAGAGTGGAGGCTGTTGTTGCAGCATATAATATACTGTGTGTGCTGTTCAAGTGTCCAAATACTTTTGGCCATGCAGTGTATTTGCCAGTGGAGGGTAGGTAGGCAAAATTTCTACATCCTAAAAAGTGTACACAAGGAAAATCTCATTAATTGTATTTTCTGACTGAAGTCTACAGTCGACGAGCCACCAGTGTGAAAATATCACTTTGGGATCTTGGGACTAAGCCTTGAAAAAAGAGAGGCACACCATTTTTGTTGTTTTGGACTCAAGCTTTGTTGAAACAACTGTGTCTGTGTTTGTCTGTAGGGGTGGAGATATCACTGATGTGCAGTCTGTTCTGCAGACTGCCAGCCTGTCCATCAACCCCAGAGAGATCCACTTTATATAACAAAGCATTTTGGCAGACGTGACTGGAACAGACAGTTAGGTCAGACAAACACCGCTGGCTATGTTGTGCATCAGTGTGTGTGTGTGTGTGTGTGTGTGTGTGTGTCGGCGAGCTTGTTTGTGCGTGTGAGTGTGCTTTGATTTTTTTTTTTGTATGTGGTTATGTCTTATTGTTTGTTTCATGTCAGGTAGAGAGAGGTGCAGTATCACTCAGCGTGTGTGCTCTTCAGCTGTATCCAGTAGCATCACACGAGAGTGAGATAATAATCACACATGTGGAGGATGAGAGGGGGAGAGAGGGAGAAACTGAGACAGTCAGGAGGATAATATGGTGATTATCAGACTAACAGACTCAGTGAGCATAAATATGAAAGCAGACGGCAAGAAACGGAGAAATGAGCGGGGAGGACACAGAGAGAACTGGGCAGGAGGGAGCGAGAAGAAGTGTTCGCTTTAATAATAAGAGACAGGGAACAATACATCTATTTATCTTGGGCATCTTGAGTTATTGACTCAGCTTGTGTGGCACATAAATATTAGGTTTTGAGCATTTAAATCAGCAGAGACCTTGTTATGAATGAATTGGCGTGCGCTTGAATCGCAGCGTGCGATGGTCCCAGGAATTGATTCATAGTTCTGCATCAGATTTCAACACTCCGTACTCAATGTACATTATCTGCCTGTGTACTCCACAGTAATTGTGTTGTAGAGCGACTAAGCCTCGTCTCACCACTAAATATGTCATTACTGTCGTGCAATCATCAATGGCCTAAGTAATTGAGTTTAGAGTACGCACTTTCATGCACTGTGGTAACACTGACGAAAGTTTGCAGTGGAGCTGTGTGTGCTGTGTGTGTTACTGAAGAGGAGAAGATTAACGGGCCTGTCTTCAACTTCCTCAGCTAAAACACAAGCATCCAAAGCTGAGCATTTATTGTCCTTGTGGCCTCCACTGAGGATGCACCGATCTGACTTTTTCAGCCCTGATACCACAGCCCATTCGCCAGGAAAAATGTTGGCATTATACGTTTCTGTAGATCACGAATATGTTGCATTTGCACGTTACATATGATACATATCAATGTTTCTAAAGTTTGTTTGTTTGTTTGTTTATTGAGATCTCACTTAGCTGTCTTCTTGGGGTCTACACAGTTGCATAGCGACAATACAAAACATACATTCACACTACACAACACAAGGCACAAAATAGCACATCATAATGTACATCCATTGTAAAAGAAACACTAACATTTGACACAGTTTACACAGAAAGACACTAGGTAAATTGACTTCAACTGAATCCATCATAATCTAATAGATAAATATCAGATACAGTTCAATAGAATGCCCATGAAACATTTACACACCAAAGAATACTATTAATTAGTGAAGTTCATTTTTAAGTAATGCTCTGCAGCAATTTTTCTTTAGCAATTTTTTAAAAACCACATATATTATTTTGTTGTGTAATATGTGTAATTCCATTCTTGCATCGCTCGATATATTACTGTTCGTCGGACTGATGTGGTTTTGAATTTTGGTGCGTACCTTGTTAAATAACTGTGTGTATCTGAACTAAAGGACAGTTTTTTGTAAAAAAAAATAGTGATGTAATATATGAGCTGACTTTGTCATTGGAAGGCGGAGGGGATGGTGGATGGTGACGCCTAGGTGAGAGGGCTCCCAGGCTCTAGACCTTTTTTTCGGGACCAATATATGACAAAACTGGTGTTTTAGCAAGTCATTGCTGTGTTTCCATTGGCTGTTCAGGCTCCAAACATGGGTGTTTTGTAGCGACCAGTTGGCAGTGGTGGACAGTAATGAAGTAAATTTACTTGAGTACTGTACTTAAGTAAATTTTTTAAGTATCTGTACTTTACTTGAGTATTATTTTTGGGGGATACTTTTACTTTTACTCCACTACATTTGAAGGACAAATACTGTACTTTTTACTCCACTACAATTCTATTGATACTCTCGTTACTCCCTACTTTTGCTCCTACGTCAGCTGATGAATTTTCTTTCTTTCTTTTTTTTTTTTTGTTAAATTCTGATACCAAAGAAAATAAACTGATTCTGCTGATTCGTGTATGGTTTGTCTTAGCTGTATTGCCTTACCTGTACTACATCATGCTTAAAACGACACTTAACTTTGGCGGTTCACATCCACATCATGCGATAGCAGTGTCGATGGCTTCAGCAGCGATGGAGGAAGAAACAGACGGAGAAACTCCCCCGGCTCCGAGCATCCGTGGCCGTATCTCAAGCCCATGTTCGAGGTTTCTGATACGAAGAATGATTCGTAGCAAGTTTTTTTTTCTTACTACATGCAAAAAAATCTTGCTCCACTGGCAAATTACAAGTTACTTTTTAGGTGATGTGTCCTATTTTAATTGTAATGAGATTTGTTTTGACTAGAAATGAGACCTTTTTTTTGATAATTTTTTTAGGCATTTTTTAGCCTTTAATTGATAGGACAGACAAGTGTGAAGGGGGGAGAGAGAGAGGGAGTGACATGCAGCAAAGAGCCACAGGCTGGAGTCGAACCCGGGCCGCTGCAGCAACAGCCTTGTACATGGGGAGCCTGCTCTACCACTAAGCCACGAACGCCCCGAAAGAGACTAGAAAAAAGACAAATATTCTAGATAAGATTTTGAGTTTTTGCAGTGTGTACTTCATGATGAGTTCAAATGTAACTAGAAGAAAAGGAAATTTGGGTTTTTGTGAGAAAAATAGGCAGTTGGGGGGTGAAATTTGTTTTCTTGACAATATGAAGCAATTTCATTTGTTGATGAATGCAGCTGAGTTTGTGTTCTGAGGCTTATTACCTTTATTTGTTTATTTTTGAGCTATAAACATTTCTGTAGCAGAATTGTGTCAGAATGACAATAAAGCTACTTTCCTTTCCTGTATTTCCTGAGAAGTACTTTTACTTAAGTAATATTTTGACTAAGCTACTTTTACTTGTATTGGCGTAATATTTGAGAAGGAGTATCTGTACTTTTACTCAAATAGTGAAGTTGTGTACTCTGTCCACCTCTGCCAGTTGGTGATGATAATACCACGAAAAGCTATTGTTTTTTTACACAGACATCGCTCCTTTTCCTGCTGCGATTGTGCCCCAAAAGCAGGTATTTTAAGCCATAGCGTAATCTTTTCTCCAATCATAACCAAGTGGTTTTTGTGCCTACACCTGACCACATGTTAACCGTAGGGCTGTGCAATATGAAGATATTATATCGTTATCGAGATATGAGACTATGTATCGTCTTAGATGTTGGATATCGTTGTATCGTGATATGGCATAAATGTTGTTTTGTCCCCCTTGTTTTAAAGGCTGAAATATTTAAATTTATCAACTTACCAGACTTTTTATTTGTTTGAACGCTTGCTTTAACCTACTTTGTCGTCCCTACAACTTCGTCGCATCAGAGAGGGTATTTGGTCAGGAACATTATGTTGGCTTTTGTCTCCCAGTCTGAGCATTAAGGAAGTGCTTTTGAGGACATTTTAAAATATCATGATATATATCGTGTATCAAGATATAGCCTAAAAATATCATGATATAATTTTCGTGACACATCATCAGCCCTAGTTAACCACAGTGTTGTTGAAACAACAACACGTTTCATTATATCCACTACATAATAATGAGCATAACCTGGTCACTGAAGCAAAAGCAGGCAACAGCTGACACATTAATCTTGAGATAATCATACCTTCTGTGAAATACTGTGTGCTTGAGTGACACCAACTGTTGGCATCTTTTCTGTTCTGAATTAAATATGCACATTTTTAATATGTACTCTGGCGTGAAACTTTAGTGGTGTTAAAGATGAGCTTTTCATAATTTCCGTTGTTCATGAGTGTGTGTGTGCTTGCACTGTACCTTCTCTCCATTGGGGTTGCCCAGGACGTAGCATCCCATTATGTGGATGAGGTTGGGTTCTGGGTTGATTTTACTCATGAAGCGACTAAGCCTCCTCCAGAATCTGAACACAGACAAAGGCTACAGTTACACAGGCTGGATTTTTTTTCCTTCTGAATGTTCAGTTCCCGTGAAATTAAATACACAAAATGTAACTTTTAAAAGGATAAGCCTGCGCCAAGCACTCGTCACGCTTTATTGGTTAACTGCTTTTGCACTGAAGCAACTGTAATAAGAATATCCTTATGAAACAGAAGGTAAGCTGTGGGTTTTTAAATCTCTGAAACAAGAAAACATCACCTATGCAAAGATGCCCCTCTCTTAGTTGTAGATGTGCTCATAAATGACAAACAAACGTAGAGCAAATGTTGAATCGTCTCAGTGGAACATCTTTGATTGAAATTAAGTCGGAGCGCACTCACAAACGGTATTCATACTCTGAGAATAGAGTAAGGAGCATTTACGTGACAAATTTGTGCCAGGATCTTTGAATCTCTAAAATGAAATAAAGGTTTCTTTGGGAGTAAGCCAGCTTCTTTTGGTTGAGATTTGCACAGGAGGAATTCTTTTTCTGATTATTGGTGGAATAAAAGGCTCAATAAAAGTGCAGCTACGATATTTTAATGATGAAATACTTCCCCAGTGCTTCTCTTTTCACAGCTGGCTAATGGCTCTCAGTCATGTTTCCATGTCTCGTAAAGCATCATCACATGTCAGTGCTTTATAAGACATGGGAAATGTGAATTGTCAACAGGAGGCCATGGAGAAATGAACTAATATTCATCAGGAGATGGAAACAGTGATAACTTACTGGCTCATGTCCTCCTCCTTTTCCACCTTAGCGAAAGTTGCCACTTTATTCTTCAGTAAATACAGATGACCGGGGCCTCCCTAAGAAAAACACAGAGGAGTTGAACACATTACTACCATCACTCCTGCTAATTTGCTTCTCTTTAATTAAGATCTCGAGAGATTAGATCCCAAAGGGAGGTTCTTAAAACACTCTAGCTGGTTACTCGGGGAGTTCCATATGCAGTGCATGAACACATAAACCTTTATGTACATCCCAGTTTTAAAGGAAATACAGTATCACATTTATTCTATCTCCTTGTTCCTCACCTGACAAAAGATGAGCATCCTCCAGAACTTGCTTCCTCTCCTGTAAGCTGTGAGCTTCTTCTCTATTTCCTCTGTGACAGAGGGAGAAAAAAAGGGTTGGATTGATGTGAACGACAGGGACTGAGAGAGGAGAGAATACGAAAAGAGACACGTAACAATGTAGTGAGAGAGGGAGTATTGTGAATGACGAACACAAAGGAAATCTCCGGGGGGGTGAGTTCAAGTACAGGTGTAATAATAGACAGCAGAGAAAATAATGGAAGACGTTGTTTAAATTGGATTCAACTGTGTGTACTTAAAGCAGCAGGAAATGTCACTGCAAAATAAAACCGGTCAATGAACAACGGTAAAATGGAAACCTGAAATCTATACGTGTGAATTATTCATCGACATCCTCTCACTAACTGTGAGAGCTGTATTCAATGCAGAGTTCATTATCATCTTGGGAGGCTCCAGGGACCATTTACAGCAAGTGCTTCTCTGATGAGCAAGACTATCATTTTCTGAATGCAGAAACCAGTTTTAAAAATAGTATTTAAGCAATTACGCAGGATTCTAATTGGTTGCAAATGAGCAGAGCTGATAAGCTATGTGTAAGCTTGTTTTAAAAGACTTGATTGCAGTTAAGGTTTAGCCTGGAGCTTTTTATCTGACCTTTACCTCCCACGGTTTGAGCCAGAGTTCAGACTCGAGCCTCGTGGCAGACTGAGGCACAGTCCAGGCTCAAGACTAAAGGTGACTGATTTTCTAGACAGGATGTCATATAAATGTTTCTATCTGTATATAAATGTATCTGTGGCTCTATATTTTATAGTAATTATGTCTCTGTACTTGTTTAAGTAGTGTTTAACTTGTTTAACTTCCATTAGCTGGACGCTAGTATTACATATTACCTCTTGCCACAAAATCATTTGCAAATATCCTGATCATATTTTATGTTTATATCCTCTGTTCTTACATATTTTTGGAATATTCTTCTTTCTGTAGTATTTTATTCAATGTAGTCAATTATGTGAATTAAATTTTAATCAAATATATACCGCAAAGCTTCAATTGAATGCCCAGTCCCTTTTACTAGCCCGGCATGGCGACACATTTTGACAAACGCCTGGTCTGGTTGCCAAGCAGTTCACGTTTTTAATAGAAGTTCTTTGAATGTATAAAAACAGGTTGTTGGCTTTTGTCTCCCTTGGTGTTGGGACATGCGGGATGGATGGTGGCTCATGGATATCTGGAAGATTTCTCCCTCCCTGAAGTGCCCTGGATTTCCAGGGGTCAAAGCTGGGGATCATGGGGACCTTTGTGGTCTTGAGGGACGGTCACGGAAAAGGAGGGCCCGTTGTCAGTGGCACTGCAGCGTAGCCTTGCTTGTTCTTATTTTCTGTTTTCTCAGTATTGGGCATTACATCTTTGCCTGTGACGCCCCTGCCTGTTGTTGCTGGTTTTGTCTGTTGTTGATTTTGTCTGCTTTTTTGTTTTCGTAAAAAACGAATGAAAACTGAGTACAAAAACAAAAAAAAAAAAAAAAAAAAAAAAAGGGGTTGTTGGCTACTTTAAAATTATGTGTCCAGTTTTCGATTGCCCTATAAGTTAATCATATTCCTTTTAACCCGTAAGGGTCCTCAAATAGAAATAATCAATGGGGTTTTCATGAAAATGAATCCAAGCTTGAGTATTGTGAGTATCCTCGAGTGTCGTAACTCTCCGATGAATGATTTATGATTAATATGAAATCTGAAGCCTAACCTTTACACAAGTAATATTCATACTGGTTTAAATAAATAATTTGATTGTATTTCCTGATTTTTGCTGAGCAACAGTTTTGTGTGAAAGGAATTAAAGGCCTGTCCCAAATATAGGACTGTTCATTTCAGTGATTTAGGCAAATAATAGCCTGGGCTATTAATTGAAGTTTTATGGTAACTACCCAGCTGGCACCGGGCATCAATATGATGTAGTTAAGACCTTGGAGTCTTATGTTGGACAGAGGGCAAATTTTGGTTGAAGTAACAGTCGAGTTAAAGATATTTCAAATGTCTTACAACAGTACAATTTTACGTTGTGTTGATGTTCACATGACAGTTTGCAGACATTGGGTTTTGCTCTTCATACCCTATGACTAAATGAAGTTATTCTACACAAGATGATGCTGACATGAGACATTTGGACTTAAAAACCAAAAAATTATCAACGTCATCAGTCTGCAGTATTCTACATTAATGTTGTCTTGGCACTAAATTCAACCAGTGTCTAACAACGTTGGTGGCCAGCTGGGAACAAAACATGTGAAAAAGACAGATACTAACGCAAACAAGAATGTTTACTCACCCAAAATATCATCAAAAGTTGCATGTTCATGGTCCTACGGAAAAGACGTTCACATAAAACATAGTCATTTAAAATTGCAATACTTTATTGACACTGTACACCCTCTAAAGAAACATCTCGTGTGCCTGGTATGATTATGTATTGTAATGCACACGTCAATGTTCAAGTGTGCTGGACTCACATAGAGGATGGGGATGATGGAGGGGTCATCCCTGCGGATTATAGTGGGAACGTACTCTGCCTTCGGGACCTTAGATGAGATCAGCTAAAGGTGAAGGAGAAACGGGAGAAGAAGGAGAAGGAGAAGAAAGATGGAGGATGGAGAAAATGGAGCAAAGTGGGGGCAGAAGGAAGAGATGGTCAGAGGAAATGAGAGGAGAGAGGAAAAGAGCAAACTCCATTACACTCTCATGCCTGCAGGGAATGTACAGCTCTATATAATATTCAAAGCGAAATGGTAGAGAATACATTAGGTACATTTAAGATACTGCACCTGCATATAAATGTACCTCAAAATAAGCTAATTTTAACCTAGATCTGCCATCAGTGTGTAATCCTAGCATAGCCATTTCCTAAAACCACAATTTTTACTGAGCTTCATTTACTCGGGATCATTTTTAGCTGCAACAACCCAAGAGCTTACATTTTTTTAAGGGACACTACACTAATTTCACAAGTTCAGTTCGCTCATTATGGGGAGCAGTATTCAGCCTGTGACAACAGTTGTATATCTGTGGTGACTTTCTAAAGTCTCCATACTCCTGCTCGGGTTTCAGGACTACAGTCATTTAGCAGAAAGCCTGCATCACAAATAGGACTGTGTATCATTTGAAAAATAACAATACCAGTACCCTTAGAGTCATATAATGTTACCAATAGAGTACCTCATTAGATTGTCCTTTTTCTACTTCATCCGTCATCAGATGAATAGCAGCATCCAGTTGCACAAAATCCCACCAGACACCACAGTAGTGTAGCATATCTGTCTTTTGAAACTTTGGTGGCATCTTGGCACACTGAGCTGCCAACTCCATTGAATACACCACGCTCAACTCCACCACACCACAGGCTTTATGGGTTGCAGCTGCTGCGGTTATGGGCCAGTCACACATTGCAAAGGTCACTTGTGGTGACTGGCTGCCTGCAAAACCTACAAATAGACTCCTTTTTTTCTAGTTCTGGGTGTAAAAAGGATTGAATGTGGGTGTCATTTGACTGGAGAAGTTTCCATACTACTTGGTACTGGGATATTTTGGTTGATACCTTAAAAGTATCAAGTTGTGATACCCAACTCTAAATACAATTTGGTGGGTGTGGAGGTAGTATATTATGTGAGATTTCTGAGTATGCCTAAAACCTTAGTATGAAACCAATAGTACGTGAACTCCATACTATTTGCGGTGACATAATACAGTATGCAAACACTGGACACTACGCAGGTAAAAATATCCTGCAATGCAATGCGGTTGATGAGAACAAAAAAAATTTTTTTTTGAAATTATTTTCAAATGGCCATTTGAGTGGAGGTTGGCACTGGTTATCATGGTGATGCTCCTCCACCTATTAAGGAGGCTCTCTGGAAGTTATATAATTGCAGCTCTGTGCGTCTAGACTCGCAAAGATGACACATACTACTATTAATTTACACTGAAGTATGTTGAACCGTAGTACACATACTGCGTATGTAGTGCATGTGTGATTTCAGATGCAGCGATTAACATTCAACAGGCAGGAAGGGTCTAACAAAAGATGCTAGTGAGCAGAGCTGACCCCAGTGCTTCAGAGCTTCAATTGTTGCCATGGTAATCGATGTCTGAATCACTATTCAGATACTTTATTTTTTGATTGTTTTTTTCAAATATAAACTGGTGGAGGAAACTGAAATGAGGCTACAAGTGTCAGACATGGAGGAGGCCAGTGTCCTCATTGCAGTCACTGACCCCTGCTTCAAGCTAATTAATTGGATGTCTTACAGGGAACAGATGAGACGATGTGCAGACAGTTATCCGCGGCTTGCAACTGTAGTGAAGTGCTTGCTTTGCATCTAGTGATGTGGCCTAACACGCGACTGTCAGAGTTATTAATGACTCACTGAAAGCACTACGTCCTACTAAAGTTGTGTCAATTTCGGGTGATTTATTAGCGTTTATGAACGTGATCCGTCCACTGCAGTCCTGAAGCTTCGAATGGTTGTGGACAATTATCATTGAAGCTTTGAAGCTCCAAAAATTGAGCAGTTCAGGCAGGACATGATGTCAAGCTCAGCTCACATCCCAGCTACATCCGCTGATCTCAAACAGCCCAATCAACTGATGGAGCAGCTGATTGATGGAAGGGAGTCAGCTGATAGATCACATGATTCCCTTCTATGCAACCAATTTCTATGCAAATCTCATTCAGGGTGGCCTATTTAAACTGCTCTGGCCTGCCTACTGTTGCTGCTTCCTCTGCAAGCTGCTTTGCAACCTGCCTCCACCCCAGCTCCTCCTTTTCATGCTGGGTCTGAGTTATCAACGTCATTTCTGTTTGTCATTGATGCTGCTCTGCTCTGTTCCCGGGGGGTCTTTGCTGCTCTCTCTGTCTTAGGCTTTCCAAGTAGGCGCATGGAAGGGCAGGGATGTTTGCTCACTCTGCCTCAGGCTTTCTTTGTTTGCCTGTGGAAGGGCAGAGAGGTGTGCTCTCTCTGCCTTATGGCCTTCCGTGTCAGCAAATGGAAGGGCAGGGAGGTTTGCTCTCAGGCTTTGCTTGTTTGTGCGTGGCAGGCAGAGAGGTGCACTCTCTCTGCCTTAGGCTTTCTGAGTAGGTCTAGGAAAGGCAGAGAGGCCCTAGAACAGAGCCATACCGCCAATTATAATACTGCAAATGGAAGTAAAGTTTTCTTTGACTAAAGTGGTCCTGACTGATATGGTTTGTGGGACAGCCCTTCTGGTGAGTTGCATTGTGGGAAGTGTTTGAGAGACTTGATCTGTTCTTAGTCAAATTAAAAGTCAAGATATCTTGACCATTCTTTTTAAATGTGTTTCCTTATAAATCTGCCTAATTTAAGTTACATACTGAATTGGTTAACTGATTGCTTACCATGATCTTGGGAGGTACAAAGTCATCCGCTTCACAGGCAAGCCTCTCCATCTCCCTCTCCTCCTCCCAGTCCATACTGTCATCAAGGCCTCCTTCATCCAAGGTATTACAGGAGGTCTGCAGGTCTCCGCCTAGAAGAAAATATCACACACCTGTGAGCAGAAAGACTCGAGATAATAGGGTGTAGGCAGAAGTGCTGGGTGGGAGGCAAGAAAGGTGACACAGAAAGAGAAAATCTGGGAGTGAAGGAAGGACATGTCCAGGAAGTGGAGAGAGGTGAGTGCGTAGGAGAGGAAACATGATGGAGTTGTTAATAATGGTGGTGACATAAGAAAATGACAGATGGAAGAGAAAAAAGAAGAGACAGCTGGCTGACGGAGAAAAAAGAGTGAGTGATAGTGAGTGTGGCAGCAGGATGTCTGGCATCAGCTAACAAGGAGAGCTGCGAAAACCAAACTGGGATCAGAGGGCGACTATTCTAAGAAGGGAAGGTGTTGCATACCATCAAATCGTGCTTCTTTGACAGGTTATCATAATGTATATTACACACTATGTTAATGTTTAAAATAAACGATTGACTGAATAGTACTTTGATGAGTTACATCACTCAAAATATTTAAATATAACTGTATCATGAGCAGAATGAATAAAGATCAAAGAACTCATTAGGAACACAGTGTAATAAAGCATAATATTGGTAATCTGAATGTTTGAGAAGAAAGGATCATTGGGTATTTTCAGGTGACCGACATGATTCCACATCTGCTCTAAAGACTTCTAAACAATGATGAGGCAGATGCACTCATTAGCACGATAGCTTGTCATTCAAGTAAACTAACACCTTGAGGGGGATTCATTACTGTGGTGTCAAACTCCTACATCTAATACAACCAACAATGATCAGCATGAGGAGCGAGGACAACTTATTAACAGCAGAGTTTTTCCATTTGTCACAGCAAGAAAACAGGTGTAACTGATGACATTGTCAAAGCTCACTGACCTGGTTTACACTTACATGGAGTGGGGTGATCGTTAACTTTATTAATTACACCATTGCTTTTATACGGAAGCCCCGAGAGGCAAGTGAGGGTGAAAATATGGTGATCCATCTTCTAAGTCTGAACTAAATGCTTTTCTCTCCTGTGATTATGACTCAAGAACAGATGAAAACAAAGGTTTTTCCAGGATAATCTTGCTTATCTAATTATCTGTCAAACATTTAAACAAAGGTACATGAAAAGAAAACATAACAGTATTGTTACATAACTTGCTAACACATTATACAAGGGCTGGGGGATATGGCCTATACATTTATCCTAATATATTTAGGCTATCTAGCGACACACAATATATATTTTGATATCTTGAAATTTCCTCTAAACTACTGTAGATGATTAAACTAGTAACTACAATTACAATAGCATTTAATACAGTAGCTACTGTAGAAGAATGTTTTTTAACCTTCATTTTAGATTTTCAATATAAAAAACACTCAGTATATCATTGTAATAATTTACTAATATCACAAATATCCTCACAGGTGGAAAAACAAAAAACAAGTCCTAGGACTTCAACGTTACTAGTAAAATGAAATACATATACACAGCAATAGAGGACACACTGCTACTCAGTTAGACCATTAAGATTCACCACTGTTGAGATACTCCAGTACAGGACTCCAAATTCTGACAAATATTTGAATCTTATTCTTATTAAAGAATCTTCCCAGTTCTTCTCAAAGGCATTAAAGAGACATTCAAATACACAAATAATGTCCAACATGTCCAAAGAGAATGTGTTAATGTCCCGTCTGCCTGTTTACACCTACTAGGGGGGAAACATCAGGGTAAATCTTTTGCAATCTGTCTTTGGAGTAGTATAGCCAATGCACTGTTTGACATTGTATCAGATTGTGTCTAGAGTTAACTGAACATTTGTGCGCATTATATAATAAATAGTGTTATAATGACATAAATCAAAGTGAAACCATTGGTGCTTTCACTCTAAAGCACTTAGCTCATCTCGGCCCAGAAGTGTTGATGTCTTTGCTTTGCACTTCAGAATTCCGTTCGATGAACGCTAACATCTGTCAAAGCTTCCTGTTGACAGATATTAGCAGTTACAAAGCAGAGAGTTACACCATTACTGCACCGCTGTTGAGCTTGAGGACCTATTAACTGTGAGCTAACAGCTCTCTAGTTCACATATAATATAATAAGTTGCACTGGTGTTTCGTTGTCACAAAATTTGAATAAATAGTAGAAGTCTGGAGCCCTGCAGATACAGCAACACACACCTCACCTGCTCACACTGTCGCTCTGGAGAGAGTAATCTGGATAGGCGTGGGTGTGGGCTTAGGTGTGGGTGTGGCATATCATGTTTGTGAGTCTTATTCTGTTTTTGTGTCTGTGAGAGGGAGTGAGCAAAAGAAATGCCAAAGCAAGTCTCATGCCGTTGTCTTAAAAACGATGTGACAGTTTATACACCATATTCACGATATAGTCAATGCATATATAACACATGGAACATCCAGTATATTCAAGTATAATCGGTATATGTCACTCTGTCACACCCCTAACATGTTCCTTGTGTATGAAACTTACCTGGAAGAAAACATGAATGCTTTTAGTCCTGATCAAACAGTGGTAATGGTGCACGTCAGCCTCTTGTGGCCAAAATAAGTATCACAACAACAAAAACTTCGAGAACTTATCCTGAAAAAACTTCTTCTTTTTTTTTTAACTGGCAAAAGTCTCTTCCCCACCTGTTTCATGGATTAATTTTAAGGCACTTAAAAAGATTATCCTGGCAAAATCTTTTTTCCATCTGTCTTAAGTCATAAACACAGGATATAAAATAGTCAGACTTAGACAATGGATCAGTAGAATGATTTTTCTCATTTGCCTGTTAGAGCTTCTGTATTTTCTTGCTATGACAAGTCAGAAGTCTGCAGTAAAAATATTTTCGAAAAACCAAAATGACTACAGAACCACTGAAGAACTGATTCATATTAAACCACCATAAGTTACACAATAAAAAGCAGAAAGCAGCACCTGACTGATACATTCTCTTGTTTAATACTATCGGACAATTTTTGCGTCCGATAGCATGTTGCGCCCTCTTCATCTTAGACATTGTTCCTAATGCTTTAACTGCTGTAAATGGGCAGTGTGGACTCTAGCAGAGGGAGATGAAAAGTAAGCTCCTCAAGCTTGCCATTTATGGAGATAAAATATATATTTTGTTATTTTCTTTTTGCTATTTTATAGACGTTTTCTTGGCTTTGTTTGATGTCTTTACCACTTAACTGACAGACCAAACGAGAGGCAGGTGTTTGTTAGCTCTGAGCTGTCAGTGTTTCTTTGATCTGTGGCCAGGTGATGTGACACAGTTTTTAATCCCTCAGTTGATAATCATTTCACATGTTCTTGTCGAAATTCCTCAAGTGTATATTATTCATATTTTCATCAGACACCAAACTTAAAATGATTATTGGCTGATACATCAATGGAGGATTGTTTTTAGAACTCCTGATATCTGCTTTGGTAGCTGCCGCAAAAATCCAGTATTAGTCAACTTGTTGTTCAGAGATTTTGTAAAGAAAAACTGTAGGTATCCAGAGTGAAATAGCAGTTTGAAAAGAGAGAACAAGAAAAGAGAGCATGAAAAAGGAGAAAATGACAAGCAAGATTAAAGATTAATGTTGCTCCTCCAGAGAACAATACCTTTCCCTCAGGAAAGAGGAAGAATGAAGCATCAACCACACCATTAGACTGTCATCAACAGTTCATTTATCTTTCATCACACTCTGAAACACTGAAGATGGAGGTGGAGAAAAAACACAAAACCACAGATACTCAGACATAGACAAACAGCACATGCAAACAGTGTGTGTTGATACTCGTATTCAAAGCCTTCAAGAAACACTTAAGACACACGCTCCTCGCATTAACATTTGTACCAGCTGACACACATTCGGACTGAGACGCACACTCCAATTTGGAAGACATACTCACAGAAAGAGAGAGCATCACAAAGTTGAAGAAAGACCCACGGTCATAGGGAGACAGATGGACAGGGTCAGAGTCAACAGCAGAGACAGTCAGTTTGTACGTGTGATGGTGTGTTTAAGTGCCAAGTGTCTTTGGATTTTTTTTGTGTGTTTGGTGTTCTTGATCTGCCAAAATCAGGAATTGGCTGTAAAACAGTGATGACAAAATGTCACCTTAGAGATCTACACTACAGTACATACAGTGCAGTATACTGTTATATCACGAGTCCTATTTGGCATGTGTCTGTGTGGAAAAAGTGGCTTCAACTTTCAAGTAACTAAATCAGCATAGAGAACACTGATGGAAATTCGAGTCACTTTAGGCTCCCTTCCAGTTGGCCGATTATGAAATGAGTTAAGAAGTTAATTTAGCAATATCATAATTGAAAAACATTTATTTACTCCGTTTTACATTTTCCTAAAGGAACAGTTTGTTGGGGGATATATTGGCAGAAAAGGAACATAATATAATGATTATGTTTTCTTTAGTGTAAAATTACCTGAAATAAGAATCGTCTGGGTTTTGTTACCTTAGAGTAACATGTCTACGCTGGGAGCAGGTCATGTTGCATTGGCATGCTTCTACAAACTGGCTCAAGACAGGGCCATTTGATTTTCTTGTTTCCGCCAATAGTGTTGGAAAAACACAGATTTTTATTTTATTTTATGTGAAACTACTTTATTCAGTGTTTTTAACAGTTTAAATCACCAGGTGTGTTTGTTTTGGAGAGGAAGAGACCTGTGCAGATAATTCAACTCATGGTAAAAACCTCCCAAATGTCTGGATAAAAAATTAAGTAAGCACACATTAGGGCTGGGCGATATGACCAAAATCTCATATCCCGATATAGCCCTAGAGCACACAATAGCAGGTGCTGGACTAGCGGTCAGTCTGCAAAGAGCCAAACGAGTGTTGCACGGTATACCGATACTAAAATAGTACCGCGGTACTAGAGTATTCCAAAAGGTGCTATACTGCATTTGGAAAATACAGGTACTTTGAAATTGATTCAATTCATTAATTTAGTTAATTTATTTTACTCAATTATGCACACAAATGCCTTTCTTGTTCCTATTGGAGCACAGATTACACAAGTGGTGTGTATGATAACACCTGTATCAACATTGGCAGCTGGCACATGTGAAAAAAGACAAGAGAAAGTCTGCCTCGCAAAGGGAGACAACACGAGACAACACAAACTTGGTGAAACATTTGAGCAACCAAACCTTGACGTCCGTACCAAGGTACTTACCGAACCATGATTTTTTGCTACCGTTACACCCCTACTATTTATTGTTCTAAAGGTTTGTATCCAAAAGGACTTTTCCTTAGGAGAAGTACCGAAAAGTATCGAAATTCATATTGGTATCGGTACCGAAACAAAGATTTTGGTATCGTGACAACACTAAGCCAAAAAGCATTGGAGAAACATGATTTGTTACATAAAACTGCTTTATTTTTATTTTTTTTTTTTGTGGTTTTAATAACCGGGTTTATTTGTTTTGGAGAGGAAGAGGCCTCTGTGGGTTATTCAGCTCCCGCTAAAAACCTCCTGAACAATGAACACTGAAGGAATTCTAACCTGGAAAAGTTTCAGCTGATTGCAATCTGCAGTCCTCACCACTAGATGCCACTAAATCCCCCCCAAATCTTACACACTGTCCCTTTAAAACTTAATATGTAAAAATCAATCTTAATATCCAGATAAGCTCCAGCATTTCAAATCAGCTGAGGGAGGAAAGAAGAAAGAGGAAAAAAATGGAAGTGGTAACTAATAACAGCTGTCGGATAAAGAGACAAAGCACTCTCCCACTCATACATTGCCAAATAATCGTAGGAAATAACTGGTAAACATGTAAAGTGCAAGTACCTCAAATTTGTACTTAGTTGTACAAAGTACACAGTGACTGTACATTAGGCTTTTGCTGGCAGTACATTATGTACTATACTTTGCATTATTTCTGACTGGTTGACCTTCATTTTCGACTACAGATTATTTGGCCTCATTCCATCGGTACAGTAAGTCGGCTCGTATATCAAAGTGCTTATTACCAGACCCTTTTTTATGGCTGACAAATGCCGCTAAGTGGCTTTCAACTCTGTATGAGCCGCCTGTGTATGGAAATTAATTAGTGACCAAAGCACTGAGTGAGCACAAAGCAAATTTAAGCTGTAATCAATCTGCCAGTCAAGATGTGAGGGCACAGCGGGTCAAACGGGTTATTTATAACTGCACACTTTGTCCATTGTTCTCACAAGTCCTGCTGCAGCTGTTTCAGATGATTGTAAACACTCGTGAACAAGAGGACACTGAAACAGTTTTTGATTAACATCTTTAAAAGGACATGTTTGTATCTGGCAGTTGTTGTGATATTTGATTAACTTTGTCTGTAGACAAATGAGAATTGAGTGTTCTTGGAAGTGGTTTTACATTTACATAAATCGGACCAGGTTGATTTTTACTTTTTCCTCTCTCTGTTAATGCTGGGAATACAAACTGATTATTAACCATGTAATTGACATTACACACGACTTTACAGAACTTGTTAAATGTGTATTATGTTACTGTGTGTGTAACAATGCTCTCTCATTGCTAAATGACAGAACAGGTTGATTTCTACTGATTTCCAAATTGACTTATATGACCTTCGGTTACAGTTACCATCATACTAGTATACTGACTACATTGCTATTAAAAGAAGTCAACAGTAACTTCAAGATGTGAACACGATCTCAGGGTCAAAGTCCTGTGTTTGTTTGACCCCTCTCGCCCACCCATCTGGTTCTTCTTCGATATTTGTACATTACGCAGACTTTGTCGCTTTTTATGCTAAGTCACATAACTTCCTCTTTTTGCACCGGTAATAACTGACCCTTCACTTAGTCCCGCCCCTCAAAAGCAGACTGGCCAATCATAACATAGCTTAAGATCCAACAACACAGCTGTGCTCCATTGACTCAAATGTAGTCGTTTCAGATTTCCTTCATTTTCAGGCAGGTTTTGTGGATCTGGAGCTAAATGTTGTGCCTGGGGCACGTTGTGTATTAATGATACTCGTTACCTGGAGAGGTTGGAAAAACATATACGTTTCTTCCCTGTTTCAAAACCAAAATCAAACCCTGAAAAGTGTAGGGTTAGCTAGCTAGCTACTGAAGATATAGCCTACTGAATGTATACACATGCTGCTTTTGCTTTTTAATGATTATAACAGTGAAACAAAGACCAACCCTGCTGTACAGGAACCAGTGAAGGGAAGCATGGAAACTTTGCTGATTTCCAACCAGCTGTGTGTCATTGCATTGTGTGCAGATGAACATTGTTTGACTTCCCCCAGAGTTCCTCGCTTGTCTGCCGGCGAGCCAAACAACATTCATCTGCACACTGCGATGCCACACAGCTGGTTCAATATCAGCAAAGTTTCCCTTTATATTCATTGTCTTGTGTGGCGATCAGCAGTGATGTGGTGGTTCACTTTTACACTGTGACCTGTAGCCTATAGTTCGGCTTTAGCTTCTAACTATCTTTGTCTTTTTGACCTGTTGTTGCTGCTAAGTGAGTCTGACGTCCTGGATATATCCTTCAAAGGCATATAGTGGACACTTCTGTCTGCTTCTCTTTGAAATCCCTTTTTCATCTTTCAAAAACTTTGATAATATTTCTCCAGGGAGTGCAGTTAGTTACAGTGTGGGCTCCATGTTAGCTCAGACAGGTTGACGGACCATCACAAAGGGGTGGTTCTTAGTAAAGGGTCAATTACTATGTCCACTAGAGGGCGCCTGCCTTACAATAAATGTTAGCACAGGTTGTAATTAGCTGCATGTGGTAATTTTTTCAGTGCAAGGGGGCTGGTTTGTAAACAAGCTTGCGAGCTAAAGTTAAAGTAAAAGCCAATCCTAGATTCTCTCTCATCTGGCATTTCACGTCGCTATATTTGCATTATATTGGCACTGTATCTCATGGATGCATGATGGGTACTGTCTGGCACGTGGTCGCTACCTTTTCATAAAGCCCTGACCTCACCTGTGCGCTCAAACAAGAAAGTTCTGGCAGAAGGCAGAGTCTCTGCAGATAAATAAGTCTATACATTGTTTTGTTTTTTACAAAAATTCTGCATAGTTAATCTTTATTGTGATTTGGTTACTTCAGAGTTAAAGCCTCCTTCCATATTTTTTTAATTGCCACTTAATTAATCGTAAGAAACTGTGTGTGTCAGCGTCTGTGTGTGCACGTGTGTGGGTGTGTGTAGATGCACATGCGTGAGTCTGTGTTAACTCACTGTCTCTGGGTTCATGAGGAGGGTCTGTCTTGACAGGGGTGGGGTCACTCCAGGAACGGTTGAAACTCTTCGATCTACGCTCAGCGAATGCTAGTGCAGGTGGGGAGAGATAGTCACACAAACACACCACACACACTAACGAGCTCACAAACTGGACGTCTCGTCTACACACTCACCACCTAAAACACATAAATGGAAAGACTAATGCAGCTCACAAATATAGTGTACACACAATGCCATCCCTCCTCTGCACATACACACAAACAAATGCCTGCACGTACAAACCGTCAAACACACACAGACACACACATACAGTACGCCAACAATCATCCATCTTTAACATTATAAAGAAGCCTGCTGCTCATCATCAGTACGGATTTAAAAGGACTGTCCTTGTTTCACAGATTTATTGAGCCTTGATAAAATCTGCTCTGCTTTGAAGAGTAATCGCTGTGCTCTTACAATATTTTTAGACTACTTGAAAGTGTTTGACACGGTTAATCAACAGTGTCCCTCAAGGCGCCATATTTTTGGTCCTCTGTGGTTTCTAGGCTGATGGATCCTCGCTAACGCTTCTGTTCATTTTCCTGTGACTCCAACTTGTTCTTTTCAAGTACAAATGTCTTTTCATTAGCTGAATTGTTCATAAGGTCAGCTTTTTAATGATTTCATGTTTTTACTCATGATCAAAAGGACATTTTTTTTTTTAAATATAGACATTACAAGAATTGCTTTATAACTTGCAATCATATCAAAACATTATCTCATATTTCATGATCTCAACATCAAAGGAACTCTATGAACCTCTTTTTGATTTTTATAGTCGTAACCGGATTGATCTAAGGGGGTCTAAGGTGTGATTGGGCCCAGGATCGTTATGCATCATTTGTTTCATTTGACTTAAAGGAATAATTCACTCCGCAAATGACCATTCAACTAGTCACCCTGTGTTACACTGAATTTGTGAAGAAAATGTGTTTTTTCTTGCATGCCTCCTGTGAAAGAAGAATCCAAAAACAGAAAAAATGATTGACGAATTGAAGTCATAGGTGATCCCAGTACTCAGTACAGCTCAGTACTTCCAAAACAGACCACCCTTTCTGATGGAGGACTAACCTGTAAGTGAGACTTACTCATCCTCTCTTTAACATCAGACTCCATTGACCAAAACAGTAATTTTACCTCACTGAACACAGGAGCTGCTGATCTACCACTGCCTTGATCGATCAATTGCTTGTGTTATTATGTGACTTTAGTGATTCCGAACACTGTCTCGATTGGTAGTTTGTTTATGTTGTTGTGTTCGGAATCACCAAAGTCACATAATAACACAAGCAATTGATCGATCAAGGTAGTGGTAGATCAGCAGCTCCTGTCTTCACTGAGGTAAAATTACTGTTTTGGTCAATGGAGTCTGATGTTAAAGAGAGGATGAGTAAGTCTCACTTACAGGCTAGTCCTCCATCAGAAAGGGTGGTCTGTTTTGGAAGTACTGAGCATAGGACTGGATAAATGAGACTTGGATTATACTGCACGAGTTGTGTGAGAGTTTGTAACATAAAGTTTTGATACAGTTTTCCTGTTGTTAAAAGCACTCACCTATTACCTAAAGTCATCAAGAAAAAAATACTTTTTTGGATTTTTTGTTCACCGGAGGCATGTGAGAATGTGTTCAGTGAGGTAAAATTACTGTTTTGGTCAAATGGACACTGGCTTTAAAGAGAGGATGGATAAGTCCCTCAGCAGTACTGAGAACTCGGAATGTCTACGACTCCAATTTATCGATCATTGTTTTCTGTTTTTGGATTCTTCGTTCACCAGACGTGAGAAAAACAAAGCTTTCTTCACAAATTCAACCTAACACAGAGTGAGTAACTGGTATACAAATGCTCATTTGGGTGGTGAAATATTCCTTTAATCAACATTGCAGCCTATGGACCAGATTCTGTGACACTGAGGAGAATTTCTGCTCACCCAAAGCTATGCAGAGATGTGAGGGGAAAAAACTGTCTGAAGAAGAAATTGGCTCCAGGAGAACTACTTCCTCCTCACAGCAGGGAGAGTCTGAGGTGCTGAACAACTTTACTGACATTACTGTGAGCAGCATCAAGATTTTGGGGCATAGAAAAAAATGTGACACATTTGTGGGGTTTTAATTGGGTTCAGGCTCATCTGCCGTAATAGCTTTTCTTCTTTTATTCTGACTTAATCGTACTGGACCAGACAGTAATGGCAAAAATTGCTGTTGGGTGATTTTCACAGCACTTCTGCAAACAAATTGCCCATGTTTCTGTTAGAAATAACTATTCTTAATTGGTCGTCAAATTTTGCTCTTCAGATGAAGAATGAGTCTTAAGTGTTAAATATGAAATGAAAAACGACATCTTTTTTGAAGCCTTTGGTGCCAAATTTTGCACAGACTGTATAATTACAACACTTTTCACCTCTCCAACCTACTTGACACATTGAGTTTAATTTGTCCTGTCCTGTTTTTGTTCTAATTTTCAGTATCAAAACACTGGACAAACTAATATATTACAAACCAGTCACATAACAAAATTACACTCACATTGCCACTGAAGCCACATCTAATCCAGACTAAGTAATCCGTACATTTTGGTGTTCTATCAATGTCTTATAGATTTGTAGCAACACTCACACACATAGACACACAACCCTTCTGTCCCTTTGCATTTTGCATTATTAAAAATATGTCATTTAGCATCTTTGCCGCTAAACTTTGCAACCAACCAACCAAAACAACAACCTCCAAACATTTAAAGCGATGCAACAGGAAAGACCACCCACAACTCACACACTCATATACACACACATGCACAGACTCATCGCTGGCTTGTTATCAACACACACACACACACTATTGAACACATAATCCTCAATGTGAAGCAATAGAGCGTTACAGAATCTCCGTGAAGCAGCAGCGTTTGGTGCCTTGCACATGCAAAAAACACACCAGAAAAACAGAAAAATAACACAGATGATGGCGGGTTGAACAACATCACAGTCAATTTGAGCAAACGTATCAACCACACACACACATCTCTGACTCACTCTGTGCTTTCATCCTCCTGCTGCCCACCATCCGAAGATGCTTCCGGAAGTTCCTGTGGGTAGAGGAATCAAAGCCGAGAAGGGATAACAGAGGATAGAGGAAGAACCAAAATGTAAAGAGGAGAAGGAGGAAAGAGGGAGGGGTGGGCGGGAAATAACAAAAGCAAGGAAAGACAAATAGGAGAGTTTAGTGTCAAGCGTCTATTTCTACTATTTAAAAAAGAGATAATTATAGGTAAATATACTAATTTCCCTGTCAACGTGAATGGAAAGTACTTGTCACAGGAGCAGTGTGGGTGTAATGTAACGCATTGCCAAAGTACCTCTTTTCATTCTTTATAGTGTAGGTTTATGAGACGCAGGAGATTCATTCATGTAGCAACAGCCAAAAGGGAAGCCCTTCTTTAGTATTTTGTAGGTTTGATGCATCTGCTCTTGGCTGAACGGCGTCAGAGGCAATGATTTGGTGCATACTGGTGTGTGTTCCCTTACTTTGTTTCAGGCGGAGGAGATGCTGCTTTGTTGATCCGTGTTGTGTCTGCATGTGTTCAACAGCGGTGGGTTTTGGCCAAGACGTTCATGTCTGATCTGTTTTCTTTGTATTTGGGGCTAAAGCCTGACATGTACTACATTTCTGAGGCTGGTAGGATGACGGTATTTGAGACTTGAAAAGAAAATCTGGCTGATATTGTCATCATTTTCCTAGTAACTGCACAACATTAACGTTTTTGAAAAGGATTGCTCAAATTTGGTTACGAAAGAATAGTGTCTGGATCGGCTGAGCGTTACACAATTACAATGTTCAGAAGATCCTGTAGAACCAGCTACATGTTCACTGGATGCCATTGACTTTAAGTTTCAAATCTAAAAATGTATAAATGAAATTTTGTCTTGTTTCAACATATGTTAACTTAGAAAACTCTTCTGTTCTGTGCTATGACCAGATGCTCCAACAACAACTTTAATTGTGAACAACATAAAGTAACATCTACAAACCTAGTTACACCGCATTCTTCCTGGCCAATGCTCTACTTTTACATTAGCTTGTGTTTCAGATTTTTATTAGATTATATATTTTTTAAGCTCTTTTATATCCACACTGTGGAGCTCAGAAGGAAGCAGAAAAAGCTTGTGTCATCACCAATTTCACACTAGTATTTTAAGACTTAACCACATTCACATGGGTGTCTTTCATCTGTTGAAGGGTTCGACTGCTGACCGTGAATAACCCAAACATACTCCAACCGTACTTTTGAGACTGTCCTCCTCCAAGATATGACCACATAGGTTGCATCTATAAGAGGCAATTACGACCTATGTGTACGTTTATTGTTAGGCGGCGACCTCTAGTGGCTGTGGTAATTATGAGGTGAGCAAAAGAGAATGTTAGGGAATGTAGTAGAAAGAGCGACAAAGTACACTAAGGGTGGATGGGTCAAACAAGCACATGACTTTCAGCCAGGAGACCATTGTTCGTGTCCTTGGTGAAACCAAAAGTCAATGTTGGGTTATTTTAACAACAGAATGGAAAGAGTTTTGAAGTCTTAACCTAACCACATAGTTTTATTGCCAACTGAGATCATTACACAACGTTAACCATGAGTTTAAAACCGCAACCATCGACGGTCATATTCAAGCTTTTCTGTTATCCACCAGTTGTGGCGTTAATCTAGGAATGGCTCCTGTGGGTCGTATTAGAGGTACATGAACAAATGCCCAATGGCATGGGTGCTTAAAGTTTTAATGACTAAGTGCCAATTCAGGAAACAAATATATATTGAGGGCTGCATGGGATTAGTGCAGTTGTGAGTTCATTCATTCATTTTCCATAACAGCTTATCCTGTTGGGTTGTGGGGGGGCTGGAGCCTATCCCAGTTGACATTGGGCGGGAGGCAGGGTACACCCTGGACAGGTCACCAGACTATCACAGGGCTGACACATAGAGACAGACAACCATTCACACTCACATTCACACCTAAGGACAATTTAGAGTCACCAATTAACCTGCATGTCTTCAGATTGAGGGAGGAAGCCGGAGTACCTGGAGCAATCCCACCCTGACATGGAGAGAACATGCAAACGCCACACACCTGGGTTTGAGCCTCCCACCCTGGGTTCGAACTAGGAACCCTCTTGCTGTGAAGCAACAGTGCTAATCACTGCACCACCGTGACTTGTCCACTGAAATCGCCGATTCTAGCTAACGGCACTAGCATTGATGAAAGAAAGTAATTTTTCGCTACACCTTTGAGGTGTTCTTGTGCAGTTTAATGCAGCTGCCTTGTAGTTTATTAAATATAAGCTATTGACAGTGAAAGTGTTGAAATGGACCGCGAGTGATTTAAGTATGATGCAAGCATTTCACGTCATGTTCGGGGGCCACACAAAATATTTCTGAGGGCCCCCATTGGTTGCACTCTGTTTTCACTTATGTGGTCGTATAGGTTGGAGGACTTAGCAATGGAAATAATGTTACAATAATGGTGGCGTAGCTTAAGAGCACAGCACATAAATGAGCTGGCGGATACTCAATGCCTCCATATTGGCCGGTTAATCATCACTCAGGCTCCATTAGAGTCTGTTACTGGTTACAGGATCAAACACATCAAATTTAACATCTTTGGGCTAAAAGAGCCTGGATGCACAAAGGAGGCTTTTCTTATCCTCATTATTCAAATGTGGTTATAAAGAATCGAGACTACTGTATCTCATTGCGGCTAATCATGGGCTAATGATGCTCTACAATGAAAGAATATTCATCAGAGGAGTCACAGGTGCAGAACTGTGGCGTCAGCCTGACAGAGTAAGACTGTAATTGTGACAGACTATTTAAAGATTAAGTTTATACTTGCCAAAGAGTAAAACAGCATTATATATATAATTTAAGGTTTGATCCCCATGTTTCGGAAACATGGTTGTCATCACACTCGGTCTGTTCCCTAATTCCTAATTTTACACTGTCTAATGACAGAATATGTCAAACTATCAAACACAAACATGTTGAGATTGTTTCAGTTTGAAAGGCTTTGTTACTTAATTTCAACAAGTGTTTTCATGCCTCCTCCCAACAATACAATGTTCTGTCGACGCTATATATTTGTAGTGTATAAGTAATTAAATACGGTGACTTTGCATTAGCATGTTCCACTTGAAATCCATTTAGCGTCTTTAATAACAACAAAGCAGCAGGGTTTGTATAGTCTTCTCTGCGACTCTCCGCCTGATGCTGACATGATGTTCTATGCAAGAGCCCCAGATAAACATCCTTTTATCTTTCTGCCTCCCTCCCATGTCGCATCTACACACAGTTTCAGAGCACCGAGCTACCAGTCGACACTCATGATTAATGATCTCAGCATGTGGTGTGTGTGTGTGTGTGTGTGTGTGTGTGTGTGTGTGTTTGTGTGTTTGTGGGTTCATGTTTATCTGGTGGTGGAGAAGCACATAAAAATAGAAGCAGCATAAAAGGCAAAAGAAATAGAGTTTGGAGTCTTTAACCTTGGTTCACCTCCATAAAAATGTCAGCAAAACAACAGTTAACTTGCAACATCAAACAGTAAATTTCAAGCTCAAACACAGTCTAAAAAAGAGCACATATAACATGGTACTAATTACAGATAAGCCACATTGCCTGTTACTTACTTTGCGCTTTGATAAAGAGATCTTAAACACACTAATACGGAGCTAGACAGACATGGTTTCACCCTGAATGTCCTGTGCTTAAACCTAAGCTGCCCACAAAGGAGAGATGTGGACACAGCTAATGCGATTTAAAAAGAAAGGGAAGAAATGTGAGAGAAACCATGGCCACCTCCGCTTCCAACTGAAGATAATCTGACAGGTCCTCCTTCCCTTCTTCTTCTTCAGCTCTTTTTGTAACTCTCTATAACCCTCAACAACTTGTTTCTACCCATTTCCCGATATATATTCCATATGTTTGCCATTATTTTCAGATTTTACCTATTTTGAAATTTGGCTGATTTCTCCTGTTCCATCTGCTAATTACTGCTTTGGCCCTACCCATTAGGACAGTGGTCCGCAGCTGGTGTGTCGTTGTCCAAAAGCTGGTCACGAATCACCTGAATGGGCCGCAAGTTCCTAAAAACACACTTTATTTTTAAGTACGGTGAATTTACGGCATTTTGTAGAGTGAGTGACTAATGAACAGCTACTTAACAGAGACAGAAAACTAGCTCGAACACATGGCCAAGGGCAAGTATTACATCTGTATCTGTTCAACCAACTAAAGCGGGGTACACACATAAAGATAATCAGGCTGATTTTGTCCCGATTTTCCCCCTTCCTGACCAAGGACGGCAAACGCCCAATTATCCTATGTCTCATAAGATTATCTTATAAGATTATCCTGTGGTGTGAGGTGTGTTAAGAGTCAGTTTGTCCCGATAATTTGCTCGGAAAAGGGTCGGGGCCAACAATCGTAAATATTAAACTTGGTTCAATATTTATGATCAGAAATCCTCGTGTGTCGACGACTCCCGAGTCCTGACTCCGTGAATTGTGACATGGAATGGAATGTAGCCAATCAAGAAGCGAGCTGACTGAGGAACAAGGAAGCAGACATAGTAAATAAAGAAGTAAGCATGGCCGACCCGAAGCACAAAGTCAGGTGGACGTCAGAAATGGAAGGACCAGCTCGTGTTTATATAATGTCTCCGCCAAGTCGTATCACAACAGGAATGACAAGGACAAGAGTTGGCAAGAAATTGCCAGTGCCATGGCGTTATCAGTTAAGCTAATAGCTAGCTAGCTAACAGCTGAATCGTTATGTGTGTGGTGTGCTGTGTTGAGAATATTGGAGCACGCCACACACAGTATGATCAAAACTGTTCAATCCATGATTTTTTTATCTTCATGCGTGGGGTTTCGCACAGATAAAAAATCTCTTAAGATTTATAAAATCCTTATGTGTGTACCTGGCTTTAATCAGTCTGTATCTGTGTCTGTACTCGGAGTGGGCGGGGTTTAAACATGTTATTTAAACCTGCAAGTTGATATGGGTTGATTAGAAGTTGCTATATTTATTACTTAAAGGAAAACTATTGACAGAACAATCTTAAAATTGAGCTGTAGATCATTTTTGATCACAAAAGACTGAACACGGCTCCCCAAATGAGGATTTTCTTTCAGTATGGACATTGACATTTTACTCAGATAAAAATCCTAAAAGGTACATTTTTCATAACAGATACTTGTTCGTTTCACCCGAGTTATTAGCTTAACCCTGTACCAATATTTTACAATTTGAAGTAAGTCAACTATTATTAATATCAAACAATAGGGATTCATATTTTAGATCTACAGACTGCTTCTTTTATATTCCCTATTTAAACATGAATGATGATCACACCTGCTTTATTTCACACATCGTCTTGGTTCCTTTGCTTTCTTACAGTGATTCATTTCTCTTTTCTGTCCTCTCACTCCTCATAAGCATACTTCCTGTCTCTCTCTTCTTCTCTTTCGTTTAATGAAGTGTGAATTTTCTCTCAGTCTTCTGTGTTTCTTTGATAATGTCTTTTATTTCTTGCCCGGGGTTTGGTCTAAGTATTAGCATAATACATTAAAAGTGAAAGTACTCCATATGCAGGATGTGACCCATTTCTGAAAAAAATATGTTATATTATTGGATTATTATTATTGTAAGCATTGCTGTGCAGCAGGTAAAGATGGGGCTAATTTTAACCATTACTAACTCATTTACTGCTGGGTAGCTTAATCTATATTAATACATTGGAATATACCTGTTAAGTATGTTTTGGAATAATCTATATTTATGAAATAACTAGTAAGAAAGCTCTCAAATAAATGTAGTGAATTAAAGTACAGTACAGTAGTATGAAAGTACAGTATTTGCCTCAGATAAGTAGGGGAGTTGAAGTATAACAACCCAGTCACCAGGAAAAATGTTGGCATTGTACGTTTCTGCAAACCATGGATCTGTTACATTTGCACGTTATTACTGTGTGTGGGGTAAACATTGAACCTTTTTATTTCAGCAATGCTGTGCCTAATGTGTGGTTACATTTAGGCACAAAACTGCTTAGTTATGGTTCGGCAAAGATCATGTTTTGCCTTAAAATACCCGGTTCTGGGGGCACAATCCTGGCAGGAAAAGCAGGGATGTCTCTGTAACTTTTTACGCTACTACCTCTGCCAGCTGGTCGCTACAAAACACCCACATTTGAAGCCTAAAAAGCCCGTAGGAAAACACACACAGGTTGCTACATAATGCCCGAACTTGAAGCCTAAACAGCCACTAGGAAAATAGATAGGTTGCTACAAAACACATACATTTGGAGCCTAAAAAGCTGCTGGGAAAACACAGGTTGCTACAAAACATCCACATTTGGAGCCCTAAAAAAAGCTGACTGAATCACACTGATGACTCACTAAAACACAACTTTTTTTGTTTGTTGATCTTGAACAGTGGTCTGGAGCTTAATACCTATGAACTGTGCAAATTGTATGTATTCATGGTTTGCAGAAAGGTACAATGCCAACATTTTCCTCTGGTGACTGGGCTGAGTATAAATCCAAGGTGTGTACAGATCCTTACAAATTCTTTAAATGTCTTAAATAAAGTTTTCTTAATTTAAGGCCTTAAAAAGTCTTAAATTCAGATTTGATGGGTCTTCAATATTTTCAATCACATTACCTCGAAAATTTCTCCAGCCTGACAGACTCAATGACTGTTTACACTCATTGGACAGATTTTGAACTGACATCCGTGTGTTTACTTGGAAAGAGTATTTACACATATGTGCCACACCCACATACACACACATATGTAATGTGTATTTCCATTGCAGGTGTGGTCTTAAATTTCATATAAGTTGGTATTAAAAAAGTCTTAAAATCAATTTGGTTTTATCTGTAGACACCCTGAAAACAGCATACAATGAAAACACTCAAGTAAAGTAAAAGTGCCTAAAATTTGTACTTAAGTAATGTCAGACTTCAGAAAATCTAAAGAATCAGATTCATTATTTAGAGATGGTAATAATGCATGATGAAAAGGAGAGTGGACACCTCACATCAAAGAGTACAGGGTTAAATCTACTGTGAGATTACAGGGAGTGATTAAGAGCAACGCTGAAATGGCTCTTTTACTTTTTCTTTGTGCACTGCTGTTGTTTATAACTGTGGTTAATATTGTCTACTATGTGGGAATGAGGATCACATGACAGACGAACTGCCTGCAAACTGCTGGTGTGCGAAAATAATAATTTCTGCTCTGCTTTGCAGCTCAGGCCGTATCCACACTAAGGCAGAGAGATTTAAAAAAAAAAATGCTGTTTATGTGTCAAAGGTTATTTCATTCACATTGATGTTTTTATTGCTTTCTTAATATTGCCATCCAGATTGAAATAAAAAAAATATACAGAAATGCTTCAATTTTGAGTCAGCAGCTCCGAGCCATATCTTGAAAGGAGCTTTCTGCTGTTTTCAAAGTGTCGGCTGAAGAACAAAGAGTCAGGACACATACTGTATTATCAATAAATGGCAGGTGTTGTGAGTAATTTATATCTGTCCACATTGGAACACAAGAGCAGCATTTTCTAATTATTTTTTTCCAGTGGAAAAACTTGGACTGGTTTTCCTGCTTGATCTGTTTTCAGTGGTCAGACATCCAGCTGAGTGAGAGTTAAAATACAAGAATGGAAATAGATAAGCATTCACTTTAAAAACCTGGCTGCCTCAGGGTGGACATGGCCTTAGTGTGACTCTGTGATAAGATATAATCCTCTTTTAAGTGATGGTTTCAGGTGGATGCATGATTATTTTTTCAGTGGATTTAAGGGCAAGGAAGGCAAAGTGTGTCTCATGTTTAAATCACTCACTCTGATGAAATAACGCACCACGTTAATGCGCTGACACCGCAGATGGATGACACCGAGATGTCAAAGAAATTGAGATGTACTGCTTGGTGTCACATTCACCATCTGCCCCTGTGTGACAGAGCATCTGGGCCCGAGTGGGACGGTCTCTGAACTTGCTACTGGTGTCATTAGTCCTGCGAATGTTACAGAATCTCACTCTGATTTTCCAATGGATTTGAAAAATTTTATTTATTTTTTGTAACTTTAAGGGGAATACAAATTCTTGTTTGTTAAGGGTAGTGCAGGAATATTTGTGGCTGAATGCTGCAATGACATATTGTGGGTTTGAAAGCTGGTGTCCGCTGAATGGAAGACAGCCCAACAAAACCATTCTTAGGTGCGTGTTTGCTACTAATGCAGTTAATCTAGGTATGGCTGAACAGAATCCACAATAGACTTATCAGAGAGTTTTTTTTAACCACTTATACAATATGCACCTGTTTTGATCTTTTCGGTTTTGTCTAAGAATAAAAATCCGATTCACTGTGGGTGGCAGTAAATATCCAGCCTAGAAATTGGGGCATTGTAGCAGGGCAACCAGTAAGCAGATCCTTTTCAAAGCTGCTGACGTCCTCACCTTCAAATGCCACGTTGTGACTCTTTGGCTTAGTCAGATTAGACGCAGCTGTAAATAAGCGACAACGGAGCTACAGCCAGAAACAAGCGCAAACAGCACGACAGCAAAGCACACCCTGGCAGGGGCCGCTTCGTACCTCTGGATGACTTCTGCCGAATCCTGCTCCCTCTCTCTCCTTTTTCTCTGCACAAATCCCCGGAAAGCCCTGCCGGGACGTGGCACAGTATTAAAGGGATGAGAGAGCTAGAATGCTGGTGTAGCGAGGGGTAGGACAGTGCAGGGGTGGCTGATGCCAGGGCTTTCAGCTGCAGGGTTTATTTGGCTGTGAAGGGGAGGCTGTTGTAGGTAGGCAGCAGCTAGCTTTGAGTATAAAGACCAAAAAGTCGAGTCACATCACCAGCTCGAGTCTTATTTTCTATTCACCCTTGCAACAAATGTGCCAGTCTGCATGGAATCCGTCTTCCAATAGGGACACTGATCTTGTGACCCTCTGTGTCTCTTCAGTAGTTTCACTTCATATAGTTCTTTGTTTGTTTTGAGGGGATTTTATGACTCTTCATACTTCCCCAGAATCAGTCATGAATACTTGTTATATATTCATAGGTGTGGTTTAAATTAATGTTGAAATTTGATTGTAATTCTGCACCTGGAGACCTCTGGGTTCAAGTAGCAGCTCTCTTTGAAAAAGTGCACCTTCTCCAATGCTGTGGCTTTAATACTTCATATCCACAGCCTTGTGTTAATTTTTCATGGATACATTTTGAATGTTATAGCTATGACCCACCAACAAAAGGTCGTCAGCGAAGACGGCCAAGTTGCTGTAGAAGCCTGACGCTCATTTACATCATTATCAAACTTTTGAAAATGTTCTGGCTAGCAGAAAGTGACACAACTTTATGTGTCAAAGTACAAACGTGGTGTGAAATGCATCACTGTCGATGTGTGATAGTGTCTTCAACAGACTTGACTGTTGTTAACCAGGAATGGTGCGACTCAACAGTCCTGTGAAGCTGATTAACATTTGTCCAAAGCAGAGACGGAGATGGAGACAGAGCATCTCCAACCATGCTTAATATAATTGACTGACTCTGGGTAAGTAGTAGAGGGTATATTGTAAATTCCCCAAAGGACAATGTGTAATTATAAAGGCTAAGGCTGGCGTTATTCTTTATTTTTATTACTGTCAACACATCCCATAAAAGAACCAAAACCAACAATGCATTAGCTCTTCTCTCAGTTTCATGAAATTTCATGTTGAGGTTCTTCTTAATTGCAATTCGTGATATTATCTTCATGATCATCAATGAATGAATGAATCACTTTACCTCACATTATCAGGAAACATAATGAAGAATATTTTATTTGCATTAAAGATTGGACACATCTTTCTAAATGAACATCCTATTAAGTGAAAACAAACAATCAAACAGTCTTAAATAAGATTAGAATTTTTGTGGGGATAAAATGGGCAAGTCAAGCCTTCAGCCATTCAAGCGGTCTAGAGGCACTTTCAGACACAACACAATTTGAGCTGTGTTTACTGCTGGGTTCAGCACAGGTGGCTGTGCATCACTTGAAAACTGTAGTGACCATTGGAAATAATGGGTTTCAGAGTGCAGTGTTGCTATTGTGGCATTGTGCCTGAAAGAGCCTTTGGATGTTTGAATGACTGGAAAGATGTGGGGCTCCCCTTTGTTTCAAAATGAAAATAAATCAGTAAATTACCAGCGAGCTGGACAGCTTTTTCAAGTCACAATATTCACGATTATCCCAATAATAAAAAATCACCACAATTAACCTTTTTATGAGTGTTTTTTTTTTTTTTAATTTTATCACAATCCATGATAAAATCATCTACTATCCATACTCTCAATACTTTAACTTCCCTGCCAGTCTTTGGTCTGTCTTACTGTAAGTCCACACTGAAATATCTCAACAACTTTTAGTTGGATTGCCATTTTCTTTGGTACAGGGATTCATAGTCCCCACAAGATAAAGCCTAATGACTTTCTCCCTTTTGTGCCATCATCAAGTCTGTGGTGTGACCAAATACTTTCCAAACTAATGAGACACTAAGATAATAAACAAGGTAAGCATTGAACTTCCTAAAGATCAGAATGTAAGCATTGTCATAATGCTGCCATCCTGACATTAACATTTAACTCAGAACACTGCTGTGCCTACGTATACCAGAGAGTATTAAGACTTTAATCCATGAAGGTTTTATATTTGTAAAAAGTAACCAGATTTTAATGTGCATGATACCATCCCGATATAAAGTCCATGGACCGAGCAGAAACATCTGGCTGGGGCCAGTAGAAGAAACTGATGCTCATGTACAGTGGGTCACACCACACGAAGGTAAACCCAGAGGCAAGAACACCTTTTTGACTGCATGCTCTTGGAATAAGGGCTGCAACTAACAGTTATTTTCATTGTTGATTAGTCTGTTGACTATTTTCTCAATAAATGTTGTTGTTTGGTCTATAAAATGTCTGAAAAGGTGTCTCCAAAACCTGAGATGACATCAGATGACATAAAGAAACCAGAAAATATCCACATTTAAGAAGGTGGAATCAGAAAATTTTGAAAGACTTTTTTGAAATCGATTATCAAAGTATTTGGCTTAATTTAATAGTTGTAAACTAATCAATTAAATGTTGCAGCTCAATTGGCAAGCAATTTTCATTCAGGTGAATTGGTGCCATTTTGGAGTCTATAATCCAGATCCTACATCCATGGTATAGCCTCATATAATCACTAGCATGTCTGTAGACTTTGAGTTTTGTTGGATAAAAATAACGTTCTATGGTACAGAGAAAAATGCCTTGGCTACACTGCCAGCACTTGGTTTTGGTCTTTTCATGGGATTTGTTGACAGTAAGAAACACATAGAACGTTACCAGCTTTATCCTTTCACTGTTGTAACAGCTTTGACTAAACCGTTAACATTTACTTCAAGCTAGCAGCCAGAGGTTAGCTCGGACGACAAACAGAGAACTTGAAAACATTTAAGAGCAGCTTGGGTTAGTCAGGTTTAGTTAGGCAGGGTGTGGTTGGAGCAAGGGTTGTGCAGTATGAAATGTCAAGACTTGGCTTGGTTAAGGCTGAATACACTGTTACTTATCAATGTTAACATTTATCTGATGGCTTACTTCTCAGCTCACCTACACACTCAGAAATTCTTTGACAGAAGTTAGCAATTTGCACGCAACAAATGTCACACTGGGTATTTACCTACCAAGGTTTTATGTGAGCTGAAAACTGACTTATAACTGACTTCTGCTTAAACTCCAACTGAGAAAACAGTTTTACCAGAAGGCACTAGAGATCACATGTTAGCACTATAAATACTTGTTCTTAACAAATCTCTCAAGAGCCAATTGCCACAGTCAGTTCCAAACACGCCTAAAGTCAGCCAGCAGAGATTCAGTGATAATTGGCGGCGGCTGTCGAGCAGGATTAGAGCGCTAACATGACTGCCACAAAAATCTTAAATGGCCAAACTCTATCTATCACTGTGTCCTAAGTGAGAGCAGGTGTGTGTGCCAAACTGACAGAACTGCTGGGTGGATGTGAGCTGACAGGGTTCAGGTCAGCCAACACACGGACAGACATTTTTCTGACTTGAGCTTGGCGGACTTACTCAACTGCAGTGGATTACACCGGACTTTATCCCTGCTGTTGCATGAAAATCCTCTAACTCAGTTTTTTCCCCCTTTTGGATTGTTTTACTTGAATTAAAAACATAATTTGTGCTGACTAGGCTTCTACCTGACAATTCATAACTGTCAATCAGAGGCTGATTGATGAGAAATCTAATAATATAAAAGGTCCACCCACCCACAAACACACACACACATACACATACACACAAACCTCTTTACTGTATACTCCCTGGCTCTGTCTAATTGCCAGTTTGTTTTCAGCTGAAACTCAATCACTCAGCCCGAGGATGAAGGTTAAATGGTAGACATTGAAGTTAAGGAACAGCAGTTACAAGAGGTAAGCGAGCTAAGGAAAAAAAAAAGGAAGCAAGCAGCGAGGTATACTCACGATATCCTGTTTGAGTGTCCCAGGATTAATTAGCATGCAAGAAGAGAGGAGAGGGAGAGAAAAAACACAGTTTAAGCACCAGTGAGCAGCGAGTCAAAAAAGCAAAGAGGAAGAATTGGGAGAGGCATAATGAGACAAAGACAAAAAGTGTGTGTCATAGTTGACCTCCATGAATCAAAGGTAAAGTTGCAGCGCCACGTAATTGCCGCCAGTTAAGCTGCAGCTTATTTAATGGGCTAAATGAAAAACAGCTTTTATATACTGACTGAGTCTGCCTTTGTGGTCTGAACTTGGTCTAACAAGCATCTAACACAAGATGAAACGTGAGAGGCAACAGGAAAGTGCAAAGGATGCCTTTAAAAAGATATTTTGAAAAAAGCCGGTGATAGTCAGGGAGAAACAGATTGCTGGAAGCTGTTGGAGATTCAACGTTAGGATGTGAAGTGGTTGTGACAGTTCAGATCTTTTACAGCTGCAGGTGATCTTATGACAGAAACTCAGGTCGCTATTACACAGATGCTCACAAGCATTTTTGTATGGACGCACACACTCATTCACACACACACACACACACACACACACACACACACACACACACACACGCCTTGTTTTTTTCTTTTTTTGTTGGTTTTGCATGTTTTGGCCCATAAACTTTAAAATGCATATACCGTAAAACTTCGATTATTAGCCCCGGGCTATTACTCACTTAAATCACTGAAATCAACAGGCCTGTATTTTGGACAGGCGTCTATATGGGACAGGCCTTTAATGCCTTTCACACAAAACTGTCACTCAGCAAAGATGGAAAATACAATCAAGTTGTATATTTGAATCAGTCAGTCATTCATTTGATCTAGCTCCGACAGACAGTGTATCAGAGAGAGAGAAAGTTTCGGCACTCGAGGATTACGGCACCTACCATACCGACCCATCACCGCTTAATCCTGTTAAAACAATACTCACAACTTGGAATAAGTTTTAGAAAAAACCCTTTTGATTATTTTGATCTGAGGACCTTTACAGACTAAATGAATATGAATAACTTACAGGGTAATCAAAGAATGGACACATAATTCGAGGCAGCCAACAACCCACTTTTGCACATCCGAAGAACTATGAAAAAAATGAACTGCTTGGCAACCAGACCAGGCGTCTAATTGAGACAGACATTTATTTGTCAACATGTGGCGCCACACCGGGCAAGTAAAAAGGACTGGGCCTTTAATTGGGACTGGGCTTTTAATTGAAGTTTTACAGTACATTAACATTGCTGCCAATCAAGTGTGAATATTACAATCCTAGCTGCGTGCCTTTGGGGAAGACATTGCTTGCCTGTTGGTCAGTCCACCACTTTGGTCCAGACTGATAAATCTCAATACTTTTTGGACGGATAAATGCTAAAAACTTTGGCGATCCTGTGACTTTTCTAGGGCTGGGTACTGGTACTCAATACCTTTTAAGGTATCGACCAAAATAATCCAGTATTAAGTAGTACGTTTGTCCTGTCAAACAATACCAGCTTTTATTCCCTTTTTGTATCCAGATCTGGGAAAAACTGACTATTTGTATGGTTTTGGTCGCAGCCAATCACCGCAACCATTGTTGGATTTAATGCGATGTGTGATTGGCCCACTACCGGGCGATTACAATTGATACAGTCTTTGGTGGTATGAGTGGTCGAGTGCAGTTTATTTGACAGAGTTAGCATGTAAGCGTCCCGAAATGCTACTCTGAAAGCATGGCTATGCTACACGACTGCGGCATTTGGTGGCATTTTACAGTACAAAAGTACAAAAATAAAGATATCAAATGAAGTAGCCTACTCTATTTGTATCGGTAACACTTTAAGGGCACTGGTTCTGGCACTGGGAAGGTAATTTTTTAAACAATACCCAGCCCTACAATTTTGATCTAATGCCACCATTAGGTCAAAATGTCATTTGGTGCATACAATTCTTCCATTGCTTTCATTAATAATCAAATACTTGCACTAATGACATTCCCACCTGATGGTGAACATGGTGAACATTATGCTTGTATGTTGGCATTGTCATTGTCAGCATTTAAGTACAGACTCACACAGTCACTCTAGTAAGGCTGCAGACTCTTAGTTTTCTAATTTGTTAGATTGAAGGGAATCATTGGTTTCTTTTTGGCACGCTATGAAACATTAGCTTACAAATACTTGAAACTTGTTGATGTTGACAAATTATAGCTTTGATTTTAATCATATAATGATAAACGGTGCTCTTAGAAAGTTAAATCTAAAAAATCTACTTGGACATTGTGGAAGTGATAATGAGATTTTGGTCACGTTTTGCTGTTCAGTGCCCAACTATCAAGATGTCAAATGGTCCTCAAGGTCCTCAAGTGCTTTCAAAACAATCCCTGCTTACAAAGGCTTTATCACACATCAATTATTCAACTTTGACAAAAAACATTGACAAAATATTCAGTATGATGGATTGTCCTCCTTGAGCAAGCTTTAAAGGTCTGCGAGCTGTTTTTATAGCTTACTGGAATGAAAATCAATGGCAGCCTGGAAGGTAAGAAATCAATCTAAAAACCTATAGCAAGCTTTGGAAAATGGTTTGTGGTAATGCTAAAACATGCAAAAAACACCAGCACGGTCCGTTAATTCTGGTCGTCACACACCAGCCTGACCTTTGATACACCGTAGATGTGACTGTGTGTGTTTGTGCACATGTGAGATTTATATGTGTGCTTTAAGGTTGGACACTCACGCCTGCATGGTTGTTGTGGCAGTTTGAAAGCTGAACATATTTTCCTTGGGGAACCAGTTAGTGTCTTCTGCAATTAAAGAGAAAAATGATCATTTCAGGGTTAAGTGGAAAAAAAGCAGAAAAATCTGTGTGCAATATTGGCAAACGCTGTGATAAATATTAGAAATATGGAAGCACAAAACCAGCGACAGCACCAGCACTTCACAGTCCACCACCCCACAAATGGAGAGAGGGAGACACACAGAAGGAGACAGCAGAGGAGAGAGACGGGGGAGACGAAGAGTCAGAAATACAGACCACCACGTCACATCCAACAACAAAACCCTCCAGCCCCACAAGAGTGAGAAGAAATAGATTTGAATTGTAATTCTAGCTCATTTTTAAGGGATGTGTCACTTTAATGCATTTAAACCTAGGTCTGAGCTCTGTGTGTGATTGACTTCATTACACGCAGTAAAATAACTTTAAGGTTCTGTATGTAACTTTAAGAAAATTATTAGTGACACCTCTCTGAGGCTGTTAAGTGTTCTGCATTCAGCATCCTGTTGCTCATGCTCCGGTGCTCATACTTGGTAGCCGTGAGCGAGCACCTTCCCAGCCAACATTTGTATGTAGGGCCCATGTGGATAGTTAATGGGCTGAAAAATGGGCCCCAAATGGAACCGTCCATGGGTTCCGTATCAGCCCCATGCCAGTTGCCCACATGGGTGAGCTGATGCTAGTGCTACCTGGGTACCAAGAGGGCATGGGTCCAAAATGGTTATCTTATGTGGGGCCCACTTGGATAACCCACCCATGTGGGCAACTGGCATTTGGCCAATATGGAACCCATGGACAATCCCATTGGGGGCCCATTTTTCAGCCTGTTTACGACCCTCACATAAATGTTGGCAGGGTGGGCATCAATTAAACCAGTGACAAACACAAATCAGACCATCTTCATATTAAGCAAGCTGGAAAATACATTTAAGTGATATTTAGTAAACGTTACTATTACCAGTGTTCCTATTTCATTTGGACCATTGGCTCCATGATACTAGTAGCGTACCGTTAGCATATTACATTATCAGCTAAGTTACAGCTAGCTTACATTAGCTCAGGTGACAGTTAGCTCATTGGCTGCTACTGCATCGCTCTTGGCAAGTAAAAAGAGCTTTGTATCGTTATATCTTTTATCCAGCTGTTGGCTAAATCAATATCGACTGTAATATTACATAAGTTAGTATCATGTATCACGTTAGCTGGGGAAGTAATATCGCAACCCAGCTAATAACAAATCCACTCAGGTAGGCTAGTATTTTCCTGGTGATGTCATTAGCAAGCAAGCAAGCTGAATACGACTTGCTACAGCCAGGCCGCCACTGCATAATGTATAAAACAGAAACACAGCATGTGTGAACTTGGTGTTGTGTTGGGTGTCAGTCATTTGTGGACATTAGCAGACTCCTTTTGTTATCTAAAGTTAGCAACTGTTGCACACTGTTAGTGCTGTAGCGGAGCAGAAGTGAGGCGAGACACCTTGAAATGCGCATAATGTCACATCCTTTGGATCGTAAAGGCCCAAGTCCTTTACATAGAAGTTCGTCCACAGGCTAGAGGAACCTGAGAAAGCCAGCGAAAGTCTCAGTTTTTAAGTTACATTACAACTTGTTCGACCCTCGACAATAAAAAAAACCTTAATACTAGTAAAAAGTTTCATACAGAACCTTAAAAATTAAAAATTAACTGCAAAGTTTCTTCCATACTAAATGCTCCCTAAGGGTTAAGTGTTATTTGTTACTTGTTTTTAAGTGATCCTTAAACTTCCATAAAACCTAGAATTATTACTTTATATAATTAAACTGTAAAAAACACTAGACTAATGGAGAAGTATAGAATTTAAACAGATCTTTATGTTTGACAAGTGGATTCAGGTAAGTGATTAAAATAAGTCAAATGCTATTTCATCTCCTGGTCCAATACCAAACCCACCAGTCCCATCCACAGGGTCTTGTGAAAAACCCTGCCCCCTCCCGCCCTTGTTTGGAAATTCAGCGCCTCTCCCTCTGTGTCCTCCGCCCTCTCACCTCTCTCCAGCCCAGTCACCCGGTCCACACTCCACATCCGCTCTAGGCGTCGGTGCTGCTTGCCTGCCTCTCGGGAAGCGCTCTCCAGATCCAGGGAGCCCTGGCTCCGTGAGGGGGCGCCGCTGCATGACTCACAGGCCAGCCCGCTGCACTCCGCCTCCCCTTTTCCACCCTCGCCCCAGCTGCGGATGTTGTGGGCGCTGACGGAGGTCTGCAGCGGGGGTTGAGACAGGTGATGGTGGTGGTGGTGTGATCCATGATGGGAGTGGGATCCAGCGACGTTTAAAGCCTGCTGCTGCTGCTGCTGCTGCTGGTTGCTACTGCTGCTTCCACTTGCCCCGCTACTTCCTGCACTACTGGAGGGCGCATGGTGGTGGTTCCCGTGGTGAGGGTCGTGATGGTTTCTGTGATGGTGGCTGGTGCAACGGCCGCTGCTGGCCTGGTGGTATTGTGTTGGAGAAGATGAGGTGGAGGAAGGGGAAGTGGAGGACTGGATCAAGCCACCTCTGGATCCAACCCCGCCACTCCCCGTCTTTTCCTTTAGGACGTCCAGTTCTAGGCTCTCCTTGCTGCCCCGGCCGCTGCTCATCAGCATACCGCGCTGGGTGGTGATGGTGTACACGCGGGCAGGCTGCAGGGTGCACTCGACGGACTTCTGCTGGTCTTCCTCTGCTGAGAAGCTGCGCTCAAGGGAGAGTCGTGACGCTTTGGTAGAGATGGTGATGGAGGGGGGAGGTGGCTGGAGTAAGCCCAGCGGGGGTTTCACCAGGCTGGGCTCCCGTTTGTCCTCACAGCCCTTGGTAGTGTTGGAGCAGGGGTGAAGGTGATTATTGTTGTTGGGACCAATCGTGTCACTTGGGGACTCCGGGTCGGGACCCACCAAGGTTTCACACAGAAGATGAGCTAGAACGAAGGCAAAAAAGACAAATGTGAGTGTTAAAGAATAAGAAATACACCAAGGTGCTAAAGAGCAAGGAGAAGAGAGAAAGAGGGGAAAAGAAGAGGACAAGCTGAGGATGACACAGAGGAAAATATCACCATCTTCCTTCGGTTATCAGCTACACTAATGATCACAGCCTGGCATTTCAAAAGAGGATGAGGTGAAGCAGGTGGAGGAAGGATTAAAGACCACAAAGGAACAGGCGGAGCAGGAAACAGGGATGGACAAATGGCAGGATGGCTTAGACGCTGACCTGATCCGTTTCGGTTTTCAGGGTGTGTGTGGGACAGGTACTCTCCAAATGCTCTCGCTGCTCTGTGGGGACACACACACATGACACACATAAAGACATTAATTCATGGGTGGAAAGGAGGGGTGAGTTGAAAGGAGAGGAAATGGAAGGGTAGAGAGGAGAGAAGGGTAAGGGAATTGTAAATTATAAACCTAATTGCCTTCTTTGTAGGCTTGTGCCACCCACAGATTAAAGATGCAGCTGTTTTATCTCCACACTTCAGGCAGCCTCAGACTGAAAGAGAGACAGAGTATGAGACAGCCGGAGGAGATAGAGTGAAGGATTGTTCGACTTCATTTCTCAGTATGACCTTAGTTTGCGTTGGTGGGATGTAATTGCAGCTGGCAGACCATAAGTGTGTTTGTTTCCTTGTTTCATACACACACTGAATGTATGTGTGGATGTATACTGTATCCCCGTGTCAAAAAAAATACCTAACCTTGACAACAACCGAAGAAGATTGCTGAGACGTGCTTAAAATAGATGCTATGCACTCCACAACCGCAGCTCTGCAACTGGTACTTAGCTCCTCTTTTTCCTATTGGTCTTTCTCTTACTCACATACAGAAATAGACAAAGAAATACGTTGCAGATGTCCATTCAGCCACATATAGTGAAAACTCAATATCATAGAGGGCTTCAGCTTTTAATAAAATAGCCCCAGGTCCCACAATTGAATGACACTGACCTCCTAATGTTCCTCTAGTCAGCGTGTGACAGGAGAGGAAAATGAGCAAAGAGAGACGGGCCAAAAGAAAGACGAATAACTCTGAAGATGTGCTTTCAATGTCAATCTGGATACTGACTGAGAGGAAATGTACCGCAGCAATAACTATTAGCAATAACGATTCATGACAGTAATTAAGAATGAGTGGAGGGAGCAGAGGAAAGGAGGAAATGTGAGTAACTAATACTGTATGTTATTAGTATTAAGTTATTCCTGTCTAGAGGTGTAAATCACAAGTTTCATCACAATATGATATCATAAGCCCCTTTTACACGCTGTTAATCTTTTTTTTATTTATTAGGGGAGCAAAGCACAAGTGTGTGGAGTCTTGCTGCTATTTTAATTTCATTGTTAGACATTTTAAAGATTTCTTGTGTTGATTAATTTTCAATTTATTAAGGGGCCAAAGCAACCCAGCTATATTTTTTATTTAATGTTAATGTTCAAGTTTAAAGTTTGTTTATTTAACCCTGTTAACAATAAACAGGTCAGTTTCTCATACCAACTGTTGTGGATCATTCTAACTAACCTGATTAAGTAGTTGTTCTTTGCTTGATCAAACCTTTTCTAACATGACTGACAACAAAATAAGTGAATATGTATAATACGTGCTTGGATCGGATCGGTATTGGCCAAAACTCAAGGCTGTAATATCGGTATCGGATCGGAAGTGAAAAAGCTGGATCGGGACATCCCTAATGGAAATGGTGCCACATAGGTGCCATGTGAATTTCAAAGGACATATTTTAAAGATGATGATTTGTATTGATATTTTGCACTTTGCATCAGTTATATTGGATTGTTGATCATTGAATCGATGCCTTGATCCAGATCCATGTATCATTAGACCCCTGTTCCTATTGCAAGGATCATGATGAGATTGGTCCCTTGTGACCAAATTTTTCTCCACAGTGCTTGGCAGCTCTAGAGAAAGGTCTGGAAGCACACATCATCATCAGCTATAGGGGGAAAATGCTCTGGCTTGTTTGTATTTCTTTAAACCAATCACAATCGTCTTGGTTGGCGCTAAACCCAGGATGCGGCGAAAGTGCCTTTGCAAATTAGTGTTGGTGGCCAACGTGTTCTGGTGGAACACTGGCACGTGTAGAGGCGAGGACGGTCATTAAAATGGCTTTACAAAAAAAAAAAAAAAAGAACAGTAACAGATGTATATCGGCTGTGTGATTCAACTTTTAGAGATAAAAAAGACAAACATAATTTGATAACCAGTTCCCTAGAGGTGAAGCATGACTGTACTTACAGCTCAGCGGACTTGTTCATACCACGGACGATTTGCCAGCTGTATGTGATTCCTGCACGACATTACTACAATATCAGAGAAGCTTGTGTGAAGTGGAACCGATTGGTGAAGTCTATGTTACTGGCACACGCCGCTGCCAGGGTAAAAAGATGCGGCAAATCAACTCTGACTGGCCGTGTCAGAAAAGGGATGAACATCGGGTATGAGAGTCCTGGGAGACGGGGTCTGGGCATTTCTGAGATGTGCTCACAAATTGTTTATTTGTTGTAGATCTTCACAACTGTTCACCAAAACAACAAATACCACCTACAGCAATAAAAAACATATTAAGACATCTATCATTTAACACACTACATACACACTGTATGCAAACTGACTTTTAACACTCAGACTTCAGTTAGTTTATTACTAATAATAATCTACTCCAAGCAGACTATGAGTTATGAGTCAGCATATTTGTTTCCTTTCTCACAACCTGCTGTAAAAGCATTATGCGCCACTAAAATTTTTGTCGATGTGATCCAATAAAATCACCTGACTTGTCCACAGCTGCAGTTACGGTATCAAGGGTCAACTGACTGTTTACATCCTTCAGTACATGCAGGGAAGTTGCCTGTTTGCCTAACGCAGCTAATGTTGGAGGTGACTGTGCAGAAGTATCCGCTGAATACAGGGGAATCTGTGGGTGCATGAACGCCTCCTTCCTGGCAGCTCTGTCAATTATTAAAGCCTGTCCAACACAGTAGGCACACACACGTACGCTAACACACGGTAGGAGCAGGAGTGCACTGAAAACAGACTCTTCTTTTTTCTCAAACATTTCTCTGATGCACCATCTTTCATTCTCTCTTACATCGGGCTTCTTATTTAAACTCAGCCCTGCCCAGAAAGATTAAACTATACCTATAATACATTTTAACAGTAACACAGTTACATGGTACATGTCTGATCCGAGGAGGTCCTATAATGGAATTATGGCTTTATTATTCAAGTTAATAATCCTTCAAACATTGGAACATTATTTATTGTGACTCGACAAGGAAGTAGAAATTGTAGCTGTTATGTTCGGAAACTCTGAGGTCCTCTATCAATATTAATCCTCTCTGAATACATACATTAGTAATAAGAGAGCATAATGTAAGTAAGCATAGTCACCTCCTTCTGTATCAATATGTAGGTTGTAGTAGAGACTTTTTGTGAGAGCTCAACCGCACCAGAGTTCAGGTTAGTGTGGACCTCCATTAGAAAGACAAAAATCGCAAGCAGCTAGAAGAGTGCTCTTATTAGAGTGCAGATGTCTGCCAGGTGTGTCTGGGGTCATGTGGGTGGGATGCAGCTTACATTATCAAGGTGTAAGCAGAGTAGACAGGCTATAAGGAGACAAACCTCTGACACAGTGTCTTAAGAAGCTCCTCTCTACCTCCCACAACAAAGAGGAGTTGAGTCTTACTCACTCACAGGCTCCCTTATTGTTAAGATGGCGGCAAAGATACCAAAAAATGGGGATTTGTTCATCTTGTATTGTGCATAACTTTGGTACATATGGAATTAATCTCCATTTTCTCCAGTTCAAAATTGGCGCCAGACTTTTATAAGGATGTCAGTTTTTGAGGCATGAAATGGGTCAAAATATGGCCTGCTAAAGAATCAGCACATCCATTAGAGGTCCTTGAAAACACTGTCACAAATGTGCACAAAACACACACACATGACCGAAGGAGTAATTCCCTCCAGGCTTACACCCTGCCGAGATAATAATTACATGTTCGCCTGTATCAGCATTGGGTGAGATACTGTATGTGACATTTTAGCTCCAGGCTCACACATTGGATGAGTCCACCAGAAGGCCCCTGTAGGGCAAAAATGACCTGTGGCTTATTGCCCCTCCAATCATTAAGTGCCATACAGTGCACACAGACAAATAGCAGCTTCTTGCTGTATTTTGCCTGCAGACCCAGAACACAACCAGGACTCTTATGTTGGAATGATACCTAGCTGCTGTGGGCCAGTTGGTTTGTGGTAATTTGACTCAACACAAATGTATTCAAGAATATTCACCATGTAAGCACAATATAAAGGTTTTGAAAAATCAGATCTGACTCTACAAGACAGGGCGTCAAGACCAGGAAATACTACAGAAGTCAGCCTACAGTTGTAAGTCTGGAGATTTGTGTGTGTGCATTTTATTTATACATCCCAAAATAACAAAACACAATTTGCCTCAGAGGGTTTTTCAAGGACATCCCTCTGTACTTGGACCCTCACAGTTGATAACAGAGAAAACCTGGTAGAAACCTCTGAAAGAGCAACTGCGGAGGGATCTCTCTCCCAGGACAGGCAGACAGACATCTAATAGATATTGTGTGACATGTCCATGCACTTCGGCATTTGCAGGTGTGTGAGTCAGTCTTTGTATATATGTTCAAGGGCAACAGAGAAAAAAGAAGCCGAGAGTATGTTTGTGTGTGTGTGCGTGTGCATGCGGTGATGTAAGAAGCAACCAGTCCCGTTAAGGACAGTTGTGATAAATGTAGTCTATGCTCTAATCAGCAGGTGTTCCTCTGAAGCTCTGAGACATTTTCATTTTGCCCTCCTGTTTTATTATTCAACAGGCCGAGCACTCTGATTAGAATCAGCAAACAATGGTGCAAGAGACTCGCAGCATCCATTATACATGAGAGGAAACTGAGTCGGAAACGGATAGAGCAAAACGCCCCTCAGTCCATCCATTTAACAATCCCTCTCTCTGTGTTGTCTCATATCGCTGCCGTGCAGCCGGTCCATATATGATGTGTGAGCACAGCACCTCAGGGACACAGGTGCATGAGGCGGCGGGGGAGAGATACTATTCGCACATGTGAAAAATGAAGGAGGAGAAGTTAGAGACGGGGAAGAAGAGAAAGAGCCTGACAGGCAGATATGAAATTCGTCCTGCATGCTCTCAGACATGTGACGGGGGTTTGGGGAGAGAAACGAGTTAGGGAGGGGAGTTCCTGAGGAGGAGAGTCAGGATTACAGCAAAGAGGAAGAGGGGA